AATGTACAGTGGTTAGGACATAATTGTACTAAAATTTCATATTTTGAAGAATTACTTTAAGATTACACAAATGTCTACAGAGCATAAAAATTTGAAATGTTCCAAAAATGATGATGAGCATAAATAAGAGGAAAGAACAACAGCTATATGTCTGTACTCCTATATTGCACGTTTTTATAAAGTACAAGTATGTATTAATTGGCAATTAATTGAAGTTTGGACCGCTTTGCTATCATGGTAGCTGAGAGAGGGAGAGATATAAATACTTATTCCGTGCTTCTTTATTCATGAAAACATAAGGACAAAAATTGATCTGCTTGAATAACAAAGAATGTGTAAACTATGTAAGCAAAATAAAGAAGAGCCACGAGTTAAGTAATTGCAGCTGTAATTCAATTATTAGATACATACATCTATTAATCGTATTTTCTCTTGGGCAATATCCATCCCAGCCCTAAGGCAGTTTCACATATTTATAGTAAGTATTTAACCATATTGGGGCAGCAAAGCTTAGCTTACGAGTACAGCCGGGCGTAGGCAATGATAGAGAAAAACAGCAAAATTAAATGGAGGAACAACAAATACAAATTTCAACCGAGTTCCGCACTTTTTCGATTACGCATACGCCCCATCAAGGTCAACACTATGGCTTGAGCACGAGCGGCATGAATGAGCTAAAAATACAAATGTTCAGACATATTTCTGCCATAGCTATTTATGAATTGCCATTGGGCCGGGCCGGGTCGGTCCGCTTTCAATTGTTTGTGCGAAATGGCAAAGAAAAGTCAAATGCAAATTGGCCAAATGTGTATAAATGTACAAATTGCACGCTTAACAAATCAAACAAAACGCTAGGCCTGGGCCTGGGTCTGGGCATGCCTCAAGGCTGTGGTCAAGCGTTCGCTCGATCGATCAATCAAAAAAAGTTTACATTTCACTTTGTGGCAACAAGCGCCGCAAATTGTGTTGTAAAACAAATTTATTTAACCAATAAACCAGTTGGGCGGAGGTAGCAACAGCAACATCGTTAGAAGCCAACAGTGAGCCATCAACTGCGGCCAACAAGCAAAACGCCACTCCCTGACAAAAAGCTAGCCAGTGTGCAAGAGGTGCGTGTCTTGGCTAACTGGTCCAGCCTGGAGCTGAAAATGGCTAAAGCTTGAATGCAAGCTTGATGTGCATAAACGAAGCCGTTGGAAGCTACGAAATATACTTTATTTGAACACAAGAAGCTTGTGAAGAGCAATGAAAGCTTTGAAATGAATGTCGAAAATAAGTGGTTCGTATAACTATAGAGTGCATAAAGGACATTTTTACTAGCAACAATTCTTAATAAACTCGCACAATACTCGTATGCTCGGAACATGCCTTAAATATTCCTCTATATATTTATGTTTTATTTGATATCCATATAAAAAAAAAAAATACATACACTTTATGTACACTTGCTTATAAATAGTCTTGGGAAATTTTGATAGTCTGAATTGGGTATTTCAGCAATAGAGAAGAGAGATCTTAAAAATCTACGGGCCGCCTTCAGTAATATAACTACTACTTGTGGGTGATATGCCCGAATCGTCCCTTGGCACCTTCTTGGCCCTGTGCTTCGCATCGTAATCCCATTTGAGCCATTTGCTATTTGGACGCTGCTGTCTGTGGTGGCCAACTGGTCGTTCCTTCGGTGTTTCATTCTCGATTCGCTGCCGCTCCGCCTCATTAATCGCTGCGATGGCAGCTGTCAAATTGCGTCTTGTGTTGCCGCCATTTTCTAACGCCTTTGTTGCTGTATTTCTGCTGCCGCTCCTGCCGCTGTTCCCGGCGCTAGCAGCGACATCGACGCTGCCGTTAGCGCTGTCTAGCATCCAAGCACACACAGAGCAAGCGCACACAATTATTATCCACTGGCTGCGCATCTTGCAACGCCCTGCAGTTGAACTCGCGGAAAATTAAACAAATGATGGACAGACACTAATCGTTTGGTCCTGAGCCGCAAGTCGCGTCTGTTTGGCTTTCGTTTGCTGTGCTTTAGTTTGTGTTGCTGCTTTTATACGCGGCTAGCAAGTGGCAAGTGGTAAGTGGCAAGCAGGCAGGCAGATAGGCATGCGGACGCACAGCCAGGCAAGTAGTAAGCAGCTGCCAAGCAGTTGCCGAGCTTCAGCATAAACAAATAAGCTAAGGGGGGAGCAGTGGCCGACAGCGAGATGCGCTACAACAGATGGGAAGACGAAGTCAAATATTTGAAAGCATAAAATATTGATAATTACTATACTTGTATGTAGCATATATATATATATATAGTACTCATATACCATCTTTAATAATAAGTAGACTGTGCCAGTAAAAAGTATAAGATTGTTTATGAAGAAAAAAGTGAGCAAATTTGAATTGCATATCTAACTAGAACGTAGGTCAATGGTCACATCATATGCCTATCACAAAATATGCGTCAAAGATACTTGTACATCACATAAGATTTCCCTTGCAGTCGCAAGCGCTTGCATCAACCCTATATGCCCGATGGACTGTTTGCCCATGCAAAGTAAGTAAAACAATAAATATTGTAATACGAGTGGAGTGCACACATTTTTTTTTCAATGTTAGGCAAGTCTTGACATCGTTTTGTTCTATTTAATGAGCTCCAAACACTCACTAGGCAAGCAGAGCGCGTGTTTGTCTGTCGCTATTTGCGTTGTAGTTGTCAAATACGAATATACTTACCTTAAGCGCACATATATAGTATGTATATGTATATGTATGTACATATGTACAAGTATATGCTCTACTCCAATTCATTCTCATTCCCATTTTAATTTTTATTCTCATTTGCGAGACAGCTGGAGGTGTTTGTATGCATTTTGCAATTTAGTAATGGCCATATGTCTCATGTATGTACGAGTATCTACTATATGTGTGTCTTTATACATAATTGGAACACGACACGGATAGACCTATCGACCTTCAAAGTTTTGTCATCATTGCAAAATCAATCGACAGTCATGTTGAAGAAAACTGAGCCGTAATTACATCTAAGTTCGGGCTTTCATATAAATTAATAGGTTGCAATAAGTCAAGGCGGCTAATTTTATAGAAGGCTTTGGGTCAGTTATTCTGGCTATTTGCAACAATTTTTTTGTATGAGATACTTTATGCTTTATGGTACGTATTAATGCTGAGCAATAACGATTTCTTAATATGCAGGTGCCCTTATTATGCACTTATTAAAATTATATAACTTTTCTCATTCTTTTCCCCATCGATAAGTTGTTCCCAAATTGTTTAACTAATGTCAGCTTTTTGTTAATGATACCTAGACTATATTTCCTCTGTAATGATTTCATTACGATATAAAAGGATAAAGTTATAACATAAAATCGGAAACTTCTATGAATGGCTTATAAACTTCTGCTGCAGCCGAAGTTGCACAAAAATTGCTTCCAATGTCTGTACAATCATTATGTATAATACAAATGGTGTGATTTGCTGAGCACAAGTTAAGTTATTTGGCCAAAAGCTAAAAATGAAATAAAATAAAAATAGAACATATAATCTCCATTTCGATCCACTGTAGCACAATACTGGGAAGTAAGAAATCAAAGCATCAGCTGTTGGCTGAGTGGGTCAAAGGCCAACAATATAGTCGTAAACATAGCGGCACCTTCATCGCAACACACTAACAAACGACACGTTAGGTCAACTGGCACTCGTGGTATGCCGTTAATAACGGTTTATTTTCTCAGCACACGGCACACTATAGGTTGTGCGCTCAAAAATGAATCTCAACTTTTGCGAGGCATTGCGCACAATCGCTCGTGGGTCCAAAAAACTCACTCATGACGAGAGCTGAAGGCTGTTGTTCGCCAGATATTTGAGTGCTTTTGTTGAGCGGTTTGCTAAAAGAAATACAGGGAATTCCACAGTTGGCAGTCCTTTTTGGTTCGCACTTAATGACTTTGTGAGTTGCCAATTGAAGGTGCATGCAAATGAGTTGGGAAGTAATTTGCCAAAGGAACTGTCGCCAGTGTGGCAGCTAGCCAGGGGGGAGTCCCAGCCCAGCTCCTTGCCAAAATGTCCTGCTTAGGCGTATTAGGCATTAGCTTTGAATGGAAAAAGGTGTCAAGTGTTTAATATGTATATTTAATTCTTTTGTTTTTGTTTTAGAATATAATTAAAGTCGTCTTTGTTTATTGTATAAAAAAATGATAAAGTATCTTCTAAACACGAGTATAGTCGAACGATCGACGCGTCGAATGCCTTCTGGCTTGCCCAAAATGGAAATTCAGTTTAGTTTAATTTCTCATCAGCTTCATCAACGGTCTACAAGTTTGATTTCACATTCATTTTGGTGACTTCTGAACGCTTAAATATTATTTTAATATACTTTAATTATTATTGTAGGTAAAAAGCTAATCGCGTCGAAGAAATAGAGCAAGTCATAATCCAACTTAAAATCAAATAAAAAATAGTACAGGAGCAATACAATACGAGTTGAGAAGTGTGTGTGTTTGTGTGAATGGGAGTTGGCGGGGTAGGGGGCAGAGAAGGGACATATTATTAATCTGTGTAGACAGCAGGGTGCGGAATTACTTTGCGAACTTGCAGCGGGAAAGTGCAGGAAAATGAAATTCAAAGGAAACTACACTGATACAAACGAAGTCTAAGAAGGCCCGTTCCTCAAAAAATAGTAAAAAAAAGGGCGTAAACATGGGCGTGTATTTTTGCTCAAAAGGTGGGGGCTAATCTGCAACTGCAATTCGCGTTTCCGCTGCGACTTCATTTCCGCATCAACTTCATCAACTGCTACGCCTACGCGCGTTTCCGCTATGAAAGTTTTCAACGGCCTAGCAAGAAGTAGGCCAAATAGTCACTGGCTTGAGGTGCTCAAAGTATGAGGGGGGAGGGTGGAACTAGCGGCGACGACGACGACGACGACGGTGGATGGCAACTGGCGGCGTCGGCGGCGGAGGTGGCTGCTGCTACTGCTGCTATCTGTGGGCAGTTATTTACAGTATGGTGCCGGGCTTCCTCAGCGGCAGGCGTCTGCGCTGGCCGAGCAGGCCAAGACCGCGTGCCTGCTTCGTGGTTGTCTCTGTGGCCTCCGTTGTCTCCTGCTCCTTGCCAGCACTGTCGCCAGCCTCGTCGGATGTGGCTGATGTGGCAGATGCTTCCTCCTTGGATGGCTGCTCCGCAGATGCGGCTGATGAGGAGTTCTCATCCTCAGTAGGAGATTCTAAAATGAACCCAGAAAAGTAAAGTGTGAGAACTAGTGAGTGTGCACTCAGAAAAATAAACCTAAATGTACTTTCTGCCATTCTCTTCACGCGTCACCTTTACTTTTACGAAGAAATGAACCTACGAGTGGGTCCAGCATTCATTGAATGCTCTTTTGTGGACACTCGTATTATATTTTTTAAGGACTCTTTCAGTTTCTAAAGCAAGTTGTTGTGACTTGTGAAAGGTGAATGTTTCTGTACCTGTAGTAGAGGTAGCCGCCGCTGCTCCGCCCAAATGCAGACGGCGCTTGGCTAGAAGTGGGTTAATTTTGCGGGGCGCCACCGACGCCACTGGTGAGGGCGAAGGCGCTGTGCCCGCCGCAGTCGCTACTGCCGCTGCTGACTTTGGCTTTGTGGCATCAGTCTTGTGCAGTCCATTGAGGCGCGGACGATTCTTCAAGCGATTGTAACCGGAAACCGGTCCGGCATGGTTTGCAGCGCTGCCGGCAGCGGCATCGCCTTCAGTCTTCTCAGCGCCTTCGGCGGCATGCTCGCCCGCCTCGCCCTTCACATCATTGTGATGGCTGCTGTCCGCTGCCGAATCCTCTGCATCCTTAGCCGATTCGGTAGTCACACCAGCACGTCCTAGTTTTCCACGTGGCAGCAGGCGATTGCCTCCGGCACGATGCAAGTTGAAGCGCGATGGACGCACAGCATCGGCATGATGAGCTGGTGCCGCGGATTGTGCCTTGCCCTCCTCTGCGCTCGAATCTTCAGTACCTTCGGGGGCAGGTGCCTTAGTGGTGGTGGTGCGGCTGCGCCCACGCAATCCTATGCCAGGACGTCCGCGTAACGAACGAGCAGTGGTGCTGGAGACGGCCTCTTCCTGAACAGCGCCATCGGCCGAATCTTCGGCGGGCTTTTCAGTAGTGGTGGTGGAGCCACGCAAATTAAAGCGGTTGCGTGCTGCAGGGCGAAAATGGAATTACATTGTCATTTACATAGATGAGTGTGGAAAAACCAAATCAACACTCACGTCTGCCACGTCCAAACCCAGAGCTGACGGGTTTCACCTCCTTGGCGGCAACAACCTCCTCTTCGGCTGGTGCAGGTGCTGCTTCAGGGCTGGCGGTTGTGCGTGCACCTGGACGAGAGCGACCCCCTATCGATGGGCGCGAGAAGCGATCTGAAAGGGAATCAGTCAAAGCGTACGCTTAGCCACCTATTTATTGTAATTCTAATTCTAATACACACTATATATACAAATGTAATTTGAATAGCTTTAAACTTGTTTATGCTAGGTGAGGTATTGCTATTAGTTTCAGCTCTACTTCTTCAATAACTTACTTCTGCCCGTCTTGGGCTGCTCCGCTGGTGGCTCTGTGGTGCTGGTCGTTGGGGTGCCGCCATGATTTCCATGACCACCCTCGCGCAACTTGAAGCGATTGCGACCAGCCAGACCGCTGATGCCAGCTCTACGTCCACCGAATAGCGATGGTGCCGCTGTAGTCGTCGTGGTTGTCGTTGTGGTCGGCGCCTCTGTTGTTGTGGTCGTCGTCGTTGTCGTGGTTGTGGTGCTTGTTGTAGACGACTGCTCCAGTTCGAGCTGCAAGGTGGTCAGGACGCTATCATCGTCATCGGTGCTAGCCGTATCGGGCGTCAATGTGGTGGCCTCGTCGCCCTCGGCTGCTGTGGTCTGTTCATTATTGAAATTTTCGTTGGTCAGTATGGCATATAGATCGAGAGCTGCCTTCTCCATGGATGGCGTTGTCTGTTCAGCCTCGTCATCAAGCTGGGCTGTGATTTCCATCTCCTCAGCTGCCTTGGCAGCTGCGGCAGCCGCTGCAGCCGCCGCCTGCTCCTGCTCAATGGCAATCGCTGGCTTCAGATCATTGTCGCCGCTGCGCGTGCCCTTTGCCTGTTTCTCATCCGTATTGAAGGTCTGGCTGTCGACCAGCTCAAGGCTTGGCCGTTTCACGCTGATCTTCTTGCGTTCAGCGGCAGTTTCGAGTGAGTCCAGGGCGGGTGTTGGTTGCACCTCGATATTTTTGCCCCGACTGGGGAAACGTGTATTTGTGGGCAGACGTTCAGCTTCAATGTCTTCGGCAGTGGCGGAGGCATCACTCACACTGGATGCGCGTCCTTTGGCCTTACCGCTCTGCAAACTGTTCTCACTTGGTGTGGCTGCCGTACTACGCTCAATGTTGGAGTAGCGCGTCTTGCCGCGCGTCTCCGTGCCCTCAGCAGCTCCAGGAGCAGCGGGTGCCTCTACGGCAACAGCTGAGGAGTCCTGAGGCTTGGCCTTACTGTCGGCGTCCTCATCCTCCTCATAGTAGTAGACATACTCGTACTCATAATCCTGACCATTGGGTCCCTTTTTGATTTCAATGCGTGACTTCTTATTGTTTTCGGTGCCAGCGCTCTCAAGAATATTTGGCTGATCCACGAAACCCACGTTGATGCCAATGTCATCGCTCAGATCGTCACTTTTCTTGGTCAGTGCTGGCGCGGTGGTTAGTTGGGGCACTGGCGCTTCGGTAAAAGAACGCAAAGCCAATGCCTGCTCCTCCTGTTCAATCTCACGTCGTACCGCCTCAAGCTCCTCACGTTCAATGGCCCGCTTGGCCTCAATGCTCTTCATCACATCTTCGTTGATGAGCGCACTGAGCACAGGGTTCAGCTCAGGTCGCTCCTTGGTAGGAAGCAGGTTCATGGAGTAGTCGGCAGCATCTGTGGCGCGTACGCTAATCTTGTGTGCCGTATGAAAACCCGAGTCACTGAAGGCAGCCTCCGGATGCTTGTGTGCGGTCTCAAAAGGCACAAGTACGTGGCTGGGCTGAGCATCTGTCAGGCTATCGCTGGAGCTAGGGACAGGCACTTGCTCCGCGGCAGTCAATATAGCCAGAAGCCCCAGTAGACAACTATAAATAAATTTTAAAAAAGATTGAAATACGAGCGTTAATTGAAGCTTGAAATATACGTGTATTGTAAGAAAAATTTGGAATATCTGCAGTCGTTAGAATTCTACTTGTACTTTTACTTGTAAGAGAACCTAGGTTCTTGGACGAATAGATATTCGAACGCAATCTACCGCCCTTCCTTTTCGACTTCAAACACATACAGTTCATGATTTCTTAAGAGCCTTGGTTTACCATGAGAGACCAAATTCAATCGTGATAGGTGTGAGCAGCGTAAAATATTTTGGATTGCAAGGCTCAGGCAATCCCATGTCCATCTGTGGCTTGCATATTGCACAACGACAACAAACAAGCCCCAATTCATTATTTTCTAATCTACTATAATTCAATCTATTTAGGCGCTCGAATGAGCAGATAGCATCGCGTGAAACGCAAAGCGGCACAATTAATGCAGTCCGTCCAATCACGGCGGGCATTATTGATCGAGCGGCATGGAAAACCTTTCACAATTTAATTAAACACGCGACGCGCCCCGAAACGTTTGTGGCAGCATCAACAACAGCATCGCCATCAGCATCTGAGAAGGAGGGCGATGTCTGCGTAGCCGACGTCTGACTGTTGCGCATGCGCATGCGCACGCCACGCTGCCTCGAACGTGCAACAACAACAGTAACATCAATAGTTCATTGGGCTTTTTAGACATTGCGAATCCGCATTGCAATGCAACAACAAGGCGAAAGCTTGCGAGGAAAGCGACTTGAAAACAGAGCTCAAGGCAAACAAGGCACGCTCTAATTTGTAAGCCGGCCCAGCACGGGCCAGTCCGGTCTGGTTGTGGCTCTGGCTCTGGCTCTGGCTATGAATCTGAATCTGAAGCGAACGGAGGGACAGACGAGAGCTGGCCGTTCGGGAAATTGCTTGACAGGAATCATATTGGCCAACCGGTTTAAAACAAAAGGTGTTAACCTATTTCGATTTCGAATGCGATTTCAAAACCGTAAGCCGTTAAACCTACCAGACCGGCCCACCGATCACAGCGGGCAGCAACAGCAGCAGCAGCAACCACAAGCAAGTCAGAGCAACAGCAGCTACAACTGTAAATATCGAACAGCGTCTGCTGCTTGTGGTTGGCGGTGGTGGTGGCGGTGGTGGCGGTGGTGGCGGTGGTGGCGGTGGTGGCGGTGGTGGCGTCGTCATCGAATTGGCGGAACATTCACAGTCACATGACGACGGGGACGGCGTTGATTGCGCTCTTGACGATAACTTTTAACATTTTGAATTATGTGCAGTTATGCTTGCAGTTGGCAGCGCTGCTGGCTTCGCTGCAGCAGAGCCGTTCGCTTTTTCTATGAGTGTGTATGTTGTTGTTGTTGTTGTTGTTGTTATTGTATCAACTCGAACAAGTTTCGACTAACACACAACAGACACAAGGCAACAGCAACAACTTGCTGCAAAGGTAGACAACTTCAGCTTAATTTAATTGCCACAACAGTCAGCCAGAGTCAGACAGTCAACCAACCAGCCACCCAGTCAGTCAGTCAGTCAGTCAACCAGTCAAGCAGTCAGCCAGTTAGTCAAAGAGGCGGGCAACAAGAAAATATATAATTATGGCCACATCGTGCCAATTGCCTGCCTGCCTCGACAATTCTTCTTTAAATTTTTTTTTTTTGGGTTTTTTTTTTTTGGTAACCAACTAGGTTTTTCAACATTTATTCTTCAAAGTCTGTGCCGTCAAGTTATGCATGAGGTGACAATGCGCACGAGAGACACCACCGGCTCGAACACTGACGCTACTCTGATGTTGTCGTTGACGACGACGCTGACTCCAAATCCCACTTCGACTGCGACTCCAACTCTAACGTCCCACACATTGACGATTCGCGTATTCCACTGCTCGCCAATTTGTTTGCTACGGACAGGAAGACGGTCAGACGGATTGGCGGATTGTCGGACAGACAACAGTCCCCGGGCGCCAAGAGTCGCAGTTAGGCAGTCAGCCAGCTAGTCAGCCAGCTAGTCAGTTACTATGCAATATTATTGGCTGCTACTTGTTGCCAGTGGGCACAGTAGTGAACGTGCCATGGATGTGGCATGAGGCATGTGTCATACTCGTATGTATATGAAGAACTTGCGACAAAGCGAGCTTGAGTATATTGTGTTAATAAAGCCAGTCGACGAAGCAGTGATTGCTTTTTAGAATTTCATTCAGCATGCCCTTTAAAGAAACGACTCTATGTAATGTTTCTGAACTTTGTCATAAAATAGAAGTTATCAGCTTTGGGAACTTTTTATCAGCTTCCGGCTTTATATTCATTAAACTGTTCGATACTATCCCATTTTCACAACATATCGTTTCGCACCTTTCCTGCATATTCTTTCTATTTCGAAATTGCAATCTAAAATACTTTATTATTTGCTTTCCAAACTTCTAAATGCATACGTTTTGATATACTATATTTTCAAGATATGTATGTATCTATGAGTTAATCTCAAATATTTTCGTTTGAAATAAATTTTCATTGAAATTGTTTTGTTTTGTTTTGTTTTATTACATAACTAAATATTTTTTGCATCAGTCTAGTAGCCCACTAAAAAATATGTTTACATATTTAATTCAAAAATAACTCTCTTGTTTAGGCTCAGCCTCTGAAAAGGCAAATCTTTAAGCTTCAATGCAACTTTAACTTGCGCCAAACAGTCTCTTAGTTAAGTTAAATTTTGTATTAGTCAGCCATTCGACTTTACTTTAATGGTCTACTCATTATTTGCAATAGCAATTGTTTTACGTTTTAAAGTGTCCCAGACATGAATAGTCGGTAAATTAAAAATTTGATTGGCAGATTGTTGATTGAGATATTGATGCATTGCCCCACTGTGGCAATGTCACTGAGCTAGCAACGGTGATAGACTGACAGACGGATGGGACTGCGGGCCCGTCTCTGCCCCCCAATCAAAAATGAGCGACTCTGTGACTGAATGAGTGACGTAGTAAGGCGGAGCGATTTTTTTTTGCTTCGCGCCTTTTGGTTTTGTTTGAATTATTGTTGTTGGGCCACTTGTTTTGGCTGCAGATGTTGCGTCCGCCACTGTTGCAGCTGCCTTTTGGGCTAATGTTGCAATACAAAGGGAGTGCTGGCAAGCAACTAACCAGCGAAACAGTCAGTCAATTAGTCAGTCAAATTTTCCAACATCCAAAGTTGTGAGTGTATTGCCACTGCAGACATTGAAATCATTTATTTAGCTCGCCTAAGTTGCTTTTGATATGTAGTTGGAGCTTAAGAACGACACACAACGACTTACTACTTATATACAATGGTTTAACAAACTTCTTAAAGGTTCTTCCGGTTCCATTTCGAAAATAAACAATGGGAATACTATTTTATATTTAATTTTTTCCCCAAATTTGATCGAAAGTTATTCCTAATGGTATTTTAAAAAAATAACCAGGTCAAATTCGACAAATGACGTTAAATAAGGAACTAGACTAAGAGCAGTTTCCACAAAGCCGTAGGGAGGTTATCATTCAAAATTAGTCATAATTTCCCATTGAATTCCCATTTGAATTCCCAATTGATTAGAACTAATTCCTATTCTTGAAAACTTAAAAAATCGCCACAATTCAATTAAAGGAGAATACTTTTCCGAATATTTTCATCTGTAGGTCTTAATAATGCATTATTTATATTTTTGCCAAATGGCTTAACTTAAGTTCCTTCAGTAGAATTGATTCGAACATTACACAAATAAATTATCAAATTTAGGGACATCATTTTATTAGACTGATAGAAATTAGTGATACTAACTCTTACAGACTCTGATAACTATTCGTGAAGACAGGCACACATACATACATACTTTGTAGGTATACTGATCAAGACAAGAAAATTATAACTCAATTGGCATACTTTCCATAAATTCCATAGTTTTGCCTTATTTGTAAGTAGAACGGATGACAAATTATTAAAATCCGAAATATTTATACGGTTTTGTTCTTTTTTGCTTTTTATTCTCATTTTCAAAAAGCAATTAAAATGGAATCAGAAATACTCTTACTCTCACCGCTTATAAAATTCGATCCCACTACTTGATTTCTATGAAAAAATCATTTTTTCCACTCAAAATAAGCTGCGGCAAAAATTGAATAAATAATATAACGGGTTTCATAAAACAGAGTGAAATAATTTTGAAACGGGATCTTGGCCAATTTGTTTCGCTCGTACTGTTCGAATGGCAATTTAATGTCTAGCCGGGATGCGAGCAACTACGGTTCGCAGGTGCGGGTGTGGCATGCAATTTGTATTATAATTTAGCAATTAATTTGCCGAAAATGGCAGCGCGTGCGTTGCGGCTTTAGAGTTGGCCATTAGATTCGGCAGTTGGCATCGTTTTTTACTTCATTTGAGGCTGACTTGGCGTGTATATTTGCTTATTTCTGTGCATATATATACTTTAAATGTGTGTGTGTGTGTGTGTGTGTGTGTGTGTGAGGGGCCATTGACGCTGTGAGCGCAGTGAAGCAGCAAGACAACAAAAGAAGTAACTGCTTCATCTATGTACGTAATATAAAGTAACGTTAGTTGCGGACGTTGCAAAGTTTATTTACTTGATTAAAAGTTGACTGATGAATAGGATTCCCGACCTTTGCTGCTAAGTGCATTAGAAAAGGGTAAAGGGAGCGAAAGACAGATGAGGGATGTGCTGTCGAGGGGGATAGGGACAGCGTTCGGAGTAGTTGTATGAAGCTTAAAACTTTATTGTCATTACTTGTCTGTGTTCATTAAAAGCCAAGAGCCTCTGATCTCTGGCTGACCTCTGCATAGTTTGGCCTTACACGAAAGTGTTGCCGCTAAGAGCGCGGATTCATTGCCACGCCTTATATACATATATATGCACACAC